ATCAATCAATTAATTGAATATTTATTCGAACCCATTGTGCGACTCAGATAGTCTTTATCATTCGTTGGATGTAGTGGTCCATCTCTCGTAAGTAGGGAAACGTGTGGGTTAATGAAGTAGGTAGGTGATTTTTTTTTATTTTTTATGGCTATCGATTTCAACCCAGTTTGGTCATCCTCAGGCCGAGCGCTAATAAAAGCGAGGACGTGAAGATTTCCACACCCGCTAACCATCCAGTCCGTCCAACCACAGGCAGGGAATTCTGGAATTCTATAATCGGTCCGTGTACACTCAAGTCCAGGGGGCAGACCATTCGAGCTCAGTGTCGTCTTGTAGCGTACTGAATTGATAGTAGCTCCTGACTCCATAAGCACGCTACCCTGGATATCCCCGCAGACTGTGCAACTGTCAATTCAGCACGCTACACACAATACTGACTATGCTGAGAGCCCGTATTTCCAGTCGCCTGCAACATGATAACGCCAGACCCCACACCAGTATTGCGACCACGGAACTCATTGCAAAATTTGGTTGGACTGTATTGCCACATCCACCGTATAGCCCCGATTTAGCACTTTCGAACTTCCATCTCTTTGGGCCTCTGAAAGATGACGGACTGCGAGGCAAAATTTTCAAGGCCCTGCTGTTGTCACTGGTGTAATGAATTAGTTAGTTTCGGCCGGTTCTGATTTTTTACAGGTGCGGCATGCAGGTTCTTGTTCAATATTGACAAAAGTGCATAACAACTCAAGGTTGTTTTATTAGAAAGGTTGTCTGGTAACTCTTAACCAATAGAATGCTTGCATTTTGAAGGCGGGAAAACGTCATCCAAAATTCACATTTAAAATTGCTCAAAGGTTACAATGCTAATAAAAGGGGTAAAAAATTTAGTTTTTGCAGTATATTTTTGGATTTATATGGGTATATGTATATAAGGGTGGATCTTATATTGGAAATCTTGGAAGTTTATCGACTTCCACCTTTGAAAGCAATCAAAGTATTGCAAAAATGAGTGTGGTGCGTAAGCTGTTTTACATTGCACGAGGACTTGTGAAAATGTAATCAAATTAATTTTAGAGGTGGAAATGGATAAAATTCCGCGTTCTACAAAATAGGAACCACCCCTATGTACCAATACCTAGCCTTTGGGAATTAAAACTCTAAACATTCTTTAGCGGATGACGCCAAATAAAATGCTGTTGCGTTTTATGGAAAATGTATATTTATAGTATGTACAAAATGGTAACCGAGGTGCACACGGCGAGCTCTGTCGTTGGGGTGAGCCCAGATGCAGGTCTTCTGACTGATGGAGTGTGGCGCGAGGTCGAGCTGGCAAGGCGACCTGGTTCTGCAGGTGGAAGAGCTTTTTGTTTCTTGAAGTGCAGTCGAAGCAGAAATTGCGTTGCACTTTGCAGAGTTCGTGGCTCTGCTTTTAAACGTTTGCGGCCAGGGACGCTACGCTTTCATCGGTTGGCCGTTTTGACCAATGAGGGCGCAGCACGTTTTAGTTTGCTGCCGGATGTGAAACATTTTCTTACCCATTCTTTAAGAACGGTAGGGTCCTTGGGAAACGTAAAAACCGAGATTTTATTTACACCAGGATGAGGAATTTTAGTGTTACCGTCACTCATTTAAAAAAATACTTAATTATAACATACAAAAGTGCATATAATTGATGAACTAACCTTTCAATCACGGCTATGAAAACCCACAAAATTCACAAACTAAATGTCTTTATATTGCACCAAACAGGTATTTACAGCTAATATATGTCCTTATACACTTCAAAATTCAACAAATTTTAAACAAATAAACTATAACTCAAGAAAAATAAGCACCCGCGCGACTACAAACAACGTTGAACGTCAATGTCAGAATTCTCGATGACGTATACATTCCGTCCCTCCCGCTTCCGCCCACATAGTTACCAGGTAACCTTTGAAATAAAATAACCTTGCATAACAACTGGTAGTGACTATGTGGAAAAATGACAGTCTGTAGCTGAAACATTGCTCTATTTCGCTATGCTATTGCGATTTGTGTATCGGCTGTAGTAGTCAGTGCAAAAAATTCATAGGTTTCACAATCCTTGCAACCATCGGAAACATTGGAAATTATAATCGTATAACCTATAAAGTAAATAACCCTTATTCACACGAAATAATCTTGCTCCACTCACTCGTAAGCTCCCTCGTGTCGCAAACGTGAACTTCCTGAATAATAAGCGGCGTAACATGCTTGTAATACTATCGCGGGCGATATGAGAGAATTTTAAATTCGAATTAACAAAACCCCTGCGCACTGTTAAGTAAGGACCGTATCGACAGTATCCGCGACTTTTCCTGAATCTACCGATTGCAGTCGAGTACGGTACAATCAACACTAGACGCGACACCACTTGTCTTCTTTTCTACTCAGCAAACCTGGTAAATTCATACCCATACAAAACATAAGCATTTCCAATGCTAAAAAGGAGGCATTAGTATTTTACAGTTCTACTAGCGATGTTTTCTGATTAGCCGCTATTTGTTTTTATTTGCTCGTGACTTGTGTGTTCCTAACGATTATCAACTGCATTACCGACATTCATTAAGGTCATCGTAAAAACACAAAACGTATTTCAAATTTCACTATTTTTAGTAACGTAGAGCGAATACTGAATACTATGCACGCTGGGCGTGTGGCTTTCTTTATCATACGCAGACTGTTTACTTTAACGCTCACTGACATTTATTGACTTTTCATAAGAATTCGTGAATATACTTTTACGTCTTCATTTAATTAGACTATTTTCATTGTAAATATTGCAAGAACATTTCAATGTTCATGTTTCGTGCCGGTTAACGTCGCGCTTTGATTAGTAAATTAGTTTACAGAGTTGGTCCTATATATGAGGGTCAAGTTAATAAGTAGAGGTTACAAAATCGGCCGAAATACCCGATGGACCAATAATAGCAGTGCGCAAAATAGATTACCCTACGTGTTCTTTGTACCAGTGAGAGGTTAATAAAAAAGTGAGGCGAAACAGGGTCGTGCGCATCGTAATTACACTACATAATAAACTCAATGCACCAGCAAACCTGAATTTTTCGATAAATCAGAGGTTTTCCATTCGTTAATGGATTGAGGCCGCCTGTTGCGTAATAAACTAGCAGTGTTTTGTTCTTTATGCTAGAGTTTTGTTTTGTTAATGGTTGCGGTTTGTTTTGAATGAAGTCTTGAATTTATTGCGATAAATTCGGGTCAGTTGAGTGCGCTTTCTTGAATCCCATCTTCCAAATTGAAGCTACATTAAATTCCAACAGGCCCAGATGCCACAAGATTAAAACTCGATTCAGCAAGATATAATATAGTGATGAATTCCAAGGCTATAAGGCTTATCTTCATAATTGTCGTTTTGTGCAAATTATCAGTAAATTAAACTAAACCCCGCATAGTTTCGTATGTCTTAATAAACGTTATTTAATGATTGGAATTTGTTTAATTAAATTTACTCGTTACATTGTTTACTAAGATAGGTTTAATTATCTGGCCAGCGGAGATAATTTTTACTTAGAATTAATTTTTTTTCCTTGTAGAGCAGAAATGTAATTCTTTCTTTTTAATTCTTGTTCATTATTGTTTATATTGTTATTCTGCTAATAAGCTTGAGTTAGTATTTTTTTCAAATTTGGGGTTACCTATCGCCATTTTATATTAATGATCAGTGAAGTACACATTTTAATTAAATACACAATTTGCCTTAAGACGAATTTTTCAATCATAAGAGCTGATTCTATTGTAAAGTTTCAGAACATATTTTGGATGGCTATGCTACATAATTTCAATTTAAAAAAATTCCGCATCCGTAACTTCTACCGTTTGATTTTCTGTACGCGGTTGCTAAATCTTTTTCTACGGAGGAAATATCAATCTACGTTGTCAAAGAAGTTAATTTAACTTATTAACAAGTACATTTCAAAACCTCTCTAACTTTCATCTTACTGTTTATATATTCATATTGCGCTTTCACCGGGAGAAAGTATAAAATGTACGTTTGCGAAATATTTTATGTTCCGTCCGACCTTATTGACTACCTAAATTTACATAAAGCCGAGATGGAAGGTGCATAAGTGAAACCTCACTTGAAAATTAGTTCGTTAAACGCCTATGGTGTTAGCACGACGTGTAAATAAGCAGCAGGAAATTGGCAACGCTTTTCCACAGAAACAAAGGAAATTGAATCTCCCTTCCGTAATATTTCTCGTGTGATGGGAGACGTGGACCATTAGTGAAGTTGCGTTGATATATGCAAAAAGGTGAGTCCTCGCTAACTAAGGTAGCAATTCAAAGAGAAACCGCACTGCCGTAACCCGAATTAGAAATGGCTTTGTTAGTTTCTTCTGTGGGAGGCGTTTAATAACTTCATACTTCAGGAAAACCTATTGATTTCACCAATATGAGAGAAAATTCCCTTTGATGCTATAAAATTAAAGTTGTCTTTGTTCTCCAAAAAGAAATAGAATGCCACTCTAAGTACCTCCTTCTTTCATTTTTACAGCGGCCGTATTTGAAACTGCTGAGAGTCTGAATCCCCTCCTAATGGAGAAGTCCTTTAAAAATACCCTAGGAAACGGTTACGTAGCGCTATTAACGTCAATCTGCTTACAGACAGTGGCGGTTTTTCGTGACATTCTCGAGCAAGCCCTAATGAGCTCATTACGTAAGGAAGAGGATTTGGAAAGTGTATGGAGTAGCAGATAAAATTTCACTAAGGCAAGGGTAATTGGGCACGTGACGATTCGACGCAAAAGTTTTTAATTGGAAATGCTCTCTGGAAAATTTGAATCATTAACCCTCAGTTGAGCGCAAACCGAAAATTTTACTTATTATGGATCTTTAATTCCCTCTTTAAATTGCGCGGTTCATTGGTCCGCGTAACTGCAAATTTTCATGCTACACTCGTTAAAAATAGCTTTGGAGTTAGACAATTTTTACGCACTAGCCTACATTTAACTTACCTGTACGTGATGAAAGCAAATACAAGTCCCACAAGTGAAATACTACTTCCCAAAACAATTAAGAGGGAAAGTACGCTTTCTTCACTCAATGTTGGTTCCATTACCGATCTACTCAGGTTGGGAAACCCATGCAGTCTTGCAGTGTAAAAGGTTTCCATTTGTGCGTCGTGCGGATCTGTAACAAATTACAAGGTAATTTAGATTACTTGGAAAACAAAACCAAAAGATACGATTAGAACGAGTTTTAGTCGATCGCGAGTTAGGAGACGCCTCGTTTTAGGGATAGCTTCATTATACTTCGTTAATGTTGCATAAAGTACCTAATTACTTTACAACACATTATTAAGAAGCGATAAGCTGCTTTCCACGCTTTCTGAATATAGACACAGTGATGAGTTATTGAAGCTTCCTTATTATTTTCAAGAAGTTAATCTACTTAGAACAACGATATTAATTTTGAATTTAGAGTCATGTTTCCATAATGTCTGCGAAACGACGTGGCATGTCGAGCGGTAAATAATATCATGTACGTCAAAGGGGATTTATATTTTCTCTGTAAGGGATGATTCCCAATGCATGTATATTAATTTTATCGGGGAATTTACCTTATATCAAGTTTATCGGTTACGTTCACGGAATTTTGAAATTATTTAAAGGGGTCCATGTCTCCCCCACCCCTTTCACCACACGTACTTCTGATTATTTATTCGCAGACACGACTGTACTGCGAAGCCCACAATCGCGTTAGTATCTACGAGTATTTATGCGTATGGACCATGCCCCAGTTTGTTTGTAGGTCTTCAAGCGTTTTAAATATTGCTAATACTAATAATAGTGCTAAATTTTAGACCAGCGTCTCCAGAATGGAATACAAAGTAGGTACCGTAATTAATACTACTTGGTGCCCTGTTTTCATTCAGTTTATTAGCAGCGAGTGCATTTACTGATAGAATAATGATTCGCAATCGAGATGAATTTTACTCATTAGTTCAAAGATATTTTGCACCAACAGAATAATTCATTTTCAAGTTTTTGCGTAGTAGATCTCCACGAACTTAAGGGTGTAATCCAGTACTACAACATTTATGCGAAAATAGTGCGATTTATATTTCGTCTCAATTCTGTAAAACATGAGATGAAAGACGGGACTAATTTTTTTCGTGTAAATTATACATTTAAAAAGTATGCTACAGAACAAAATTTTAATATACTTATAAGAAAAAACAATTTTTTAGAGCACTGCCAATAAAAAGTGAACTTTTGTAGGTAAAATGGCGTCAACACAAATTATTTTAAAAATCTCCCTGTAGCATACTCAGAAAAAACATTAGCAAACCATAGAGCCATCGACCAAACATTCAAATAAATTACAAAAAATTTTAGACGAAATATTCATTCGAAATTTTTTACGAAAACTTGTAGCGTTTAGTGAAGTCTTTCACCATTTATAAATGTACAGTAGGCAACACATCATACGGCACGCCTGACTTCATTAGCGGCATTGTTGCGTTTATCGGGACTAATTTACAAATAGAAACCGGATTCATTAGAACGTATTATAATTCCATAATATACTGGGTAATAGAATTCACACGGAAAATGTGATTTATTTTTGGGTGAATTAAAAGTTTACGTCTTTTCTGGCGTTTTTTTGTAACACCCCTAATATTTTAGTGTGATCAAAATTTGAGATTATTCTCATGTAGCATCTTTCGGAAAAAGATATAGTTTGCGAAAAAAGCGTTAGTTCTCATTTATTTTGTGTTGTTCCCGAATTAGACGAAATCTTGAAAAACCCCTACTAATAAATGTTTGGGATTTGGATATGCATTTTTTAAATATATCTAATTGTAGGTACTTATTCGCTTACATGCGTTATTTTCCAGATAGTCAATATAGTTCATGATCATGAAGTAACTATACTGAGTTTAAAAAAATATATACGTCTTATGAATAACTGGGAAAAGTGAAATTATTGAGGATTAGCCGCTGTGACAATGATTTTCGTTTTCTAATCGATGTTTAATTATATATGCATATTCGTCACAATGGCTAATGACCTAGGTAAATTAGCGTATTTACTTGTTTACTATATACAATGGTTGATGGGCAGGTAAATTCTTCAATCTTTGTTTATTCGTTACCATTTCATTACAAGTAAGTATTATGCAACCCATCATACGTCAATCAGAAATACATTTTAAGTGGAATACACCCCGCGTAGTGAATAAATTTTGCGTGGTATTTCTTGACATATTTTAGCTTGTTTTGGCGACTACGTCTGAAGTTTATTTAAGCTACAAAAAATTAGCGTAACCGAACTTTGCCATTTGTTAATTGTGCAAAGTCCAGCGATAAAACAAAACTTAAAACCCTGGTAATTCCGAAACAAAATTGTAACGTGCATCTCTGACGTATAGGCAACCTGTCATACTTGGCTAAATGTTAGTCCAAATAGTTAAAAGGGTTCATTCGTGGTTCAAAAACAAAAGTTTAAAGCCGCAATTAGAGGACTGCAAGTGCTTTCTTATTTCGTTAACTACGCCTTCACCGAAGGTAAGTTGTGTCTTCAAAAGTATTACCTGATATTTATTGAGTCATTCGTTCATTTAATTTTGGGTTTATCTCTTCAATCGCTGCCAGATTAAGTCAAATTGCTTTCAACGTATGAATTACTTTTCCGATGGTTGAAAAATTCAATCCACGGTTCCTGTAAGACACCTGGAAGAATGGAATTACGCCGACCATTTCACGTAGATAAAAAAATATGGATTATTCTCATAGGGCGAGGACAGCCATTTCATGTGCGTCCAAAAGTGCGCCATTGCAATTCCACCTAAAAGTGTCATGATTGTCAAACAAAAGATAATTCTAATCAATTCTCATTTGCATTTAGTTCAATTACTTTAACGTTTTATTGTACCTTTTTATCCGATTCCTTGCACTAGGGCTTGTTTTTATAACTATAGTAATGCTTAATTATTAACTGTTGAGACTGCTTACTTATTGAGATTACCTTTCTAAAGTCATATACATATGTTTACCTGTTTCTTTTAGCTAAATACTCTCAGCAACGATGTACATCCAGCTCCTGGAGAAAAACGTAAGTACCTTTTTCTTTTCTCCTTTCTTTGCGGTCACCATGTATTGAAACCTCAAAATTTGAAAACTATGAAAGTGTGAAGTCTTTGTCTGAATTGAGTATCCTAAGATATTAAAGTTGAAGAGGTTCTAGAAATTTTTAAATCACATAATTTCTTATAAACCTTATGAGTTGATTATTGAAGCCTTGACATTTTTTATTTAAAAAAATTTTCAAATCCTAGGGATGATTTCAGGAATGCATGGGAATTTCCGAAGATTTCAAGCGATTTTCAAGAACCTCAGAATTTCTATTATAAAAAGCACATCTGATAACATTTATTCCATATAAACAATTACTCGTGTTTAATTAGTTCGTTCTGTGTTTGCAACCATTAAATTTTCTTGTTTTCTTATAATGTTAAATTATTTGTTTGTGGATCGCTATAATAATTTTTGTAAAATAATTAAAGTATAAGATATCGAACAACCATACAGGTAAATGGCATTTTTATAAAGTGGGATTGGGCAGTGTAGACAAAGTTTAGTTGCTGAACGACATTTTGTTGGCGTATTCTGTAAAAATTAAAAACTAGGAGTCAATCTGGAGAGATTTTTCTGGTATTTAACGTTAAGCGGTCAGCGGAAAGTCACGTTGAAGCTCGTGATATTATTATACGGGTAGCCGCCAGGTATAATAATAATGAATAATAATAATGAATTTATTGTCTAACAGCAAAACACGCCAATGTAGAAAAATTACAATGAATGTACATAGATACAATAATAAACGCTAAATGCGAAAAAAAACAAAAATAAAAAAAACAAAGTAGCAATAATTATCCAGACTAATAAATAAAAAACGTAAATCATAAAATAAAATTAAGTTAACAATATAATAGCAAAACAAATAGATATCTATACAATTTAAACTATAACTATAACCTTACTAGTAATATATTTATGAAAAAGTATAAAGTATGAAAAAAACAATAAACTGATATAAACGAAAGATAAACGAAAATTAGTAAACTTAACATTGAAAATACTCCTAGCATCTTAATTCAGAGGGGGTTCTAGTATAGCTGTAGATATACCAGCAAAATTTCCTGTAGTTATATCGCAGAGTGAGGATATTTCGTTGACACTTGTGCACATTGTGTAAATTGGCGATCTAAGGAAAATGTTATTGCGTGCTGTGGGAACGTAAAATGGAATGGGGTTTCTGGAATCTTGCCTAGGAATGTTAAATGAAAGCTTCTGTAATAACTGAGCAATCAGGTTGATTGTGGATAAGATGGTGTAGGAGTTTTAACAGAGCGCATAACCTGAGACATCTACAAGAATGCAAACTGAAACTAAACGTCTTTAGTAGCAAAGCTTGACTAAACCCTTGAGGGGGGTAGAGTCCATATTGTTTGGACCACAAAAACTTTAAAAATTGTCTTTGCACATTCTCAATCATTGTAGATTAGTACTCATAAACAGGATTCCATATCGCTGCGCCGTATTCAAGTTTAGAACGCACTAGGGAACAGTACAAACAGCGCATGGCAACAATATTTGTAAACATTTTGCAACTTCGGATAACCAGACCCATTGTTTTGTACGATGATTTTACCATTGAATTAATGTGCGATGAAAAAGTGAATTCGCTATCGAAAGTAATTCCCAAGTCCTTAAGGAAAGGTTCTCGTTGTATTGTAATGTCGTTTAAATTATATAAAAAGAACACCGGCGATTTTTTACGAGAGTATGTAACAATTTTACATTTACTGACATTTGGGGAGAGTTTGTTTGCGATACACCAGTCAAGACTTTACAATCAAGTTTTCTGGGTAGATCGTTTATATATAAAAGAAACAATAAGGGACCCAAATTGGATCCTTGTGGAACTCCAGAGGTGGGATAGTATAGGGAAGACTTATAACCATTGTACATTACGTAGTGAGGTCTGTTTATTAGGTATGACTTAAACAGGTCCATATTTGACTGACTCACACCAAAGTGTTGCAGCTTTGTGAGCAACAGCTTATGGTCAATTTTGTCAAACGCCTTTGTTAGGTCCGTATAAACGACATCTACCTGACCGAC